GCTTGCAGTCAAGGGTTTAGAACCTATTGTGGCACTACTTCTGGATAGGTGTGAAGCGGATATAAATATTCTGGACGGAGATATGAATTCGCTGGTTCTAATGGCCTCAAGAGCCGGTCATTATGGTACTTTGCAGTATCTTCTAGAGAAGGGGGCAGGGCTAGACCTCCAGAATAACGCTGGGGATACTGCACTTATCGAAGCCTCTCGCTGTAGCCACTATGAGGTTATACGGCTTCTTTTAGAGAAAGGGGCAGTGCTAGACCTCCAGAATAACGCTGGGGATACTGCACTTATCGAAGCCTCTCGCTTTGGCCACGGCGAGGCTATGCGGCTTCTTTTAGAGAAAGGGGCAGTGCTAAACCTCCAGAATAACGCTGGTGATACTGCACTCCTGAAGGCCTCTCGCTTTGGCTACTATGAGACTATCTTTTTAGATAGAGGGCCAATGGTAGACCTCCAGGATAACCTTTGGGGTATGAAGGTCTCTCGTCCTGGCTACTATAAGGCTTTACGGCTTCTTTTAGATGTAGGGGCAGATCTAGACCACCAGAATAACGCTGGGGATACCGCACTTATCCAGGTCTGTCGCTATCGCGAAGCGGAGGCTGTAGAGCTTCTTTTAGAGTATGGTGCCAATACATTCCTCGAGAATTCAGCTGGGGATACTGCACTTATATTAGCCTCTCGAAGAGGGGATATATATATTGTGCAATGTCTCCGTGATAGAGGAGCAGCACTCTACTAAGCCTCCTAGGTTTGTGGTGAGCATGTTCTCAAGCCTTTCTAAGACACTTGCATCTACAAATGCATTTAATTAGTAAGGTACTCAATATAACATCTGCCAAGGCCTTGTGTGAAGGATATCAGCATGTTATACAGCCGCTCTCGAATTCGATCGCAAATGTAGAAACTGAAAATCAGCAAGTGAGCCATTTATTCAAAATAGCTTTAAGCACTAGATTGCAGTCTGCGATGAAGAATGACAGAGGAAAGGTATACCGAGTGACGTCTAGCCTTATCAGATTGGGTTCCAGATCTCCGTTGCTCGGTCTGTTGTGAAAGAGAGGCTGCACGAGTGGTTTCTACTATTAATCTAACACGACTTCCAACACTGATGACAATATAACCAAGAACCATTCTTTGAACCCCTGCGATATCCGTCAAAGCCTCTCGATGAGAGGTCCAGGCTGATCAACTTCTATCAATCATTGTTCAAGCCTAAATACAATAATGCAACTGGTCAAGCTAGGATGGGATCCAGTCTTTGAATTATAAAAATCTCCTTGGTGCAAATGCAATTCAAATCATTGTAATACGGGAAAGCTTTCTAACGTCCCTTCCATGGAGCAAGGTATACACTGCGCAAGGGAGGTGTGATGCCCGCTAAACACCGCCTCAAGGTGTTGCCGCGACGATCAAGTGAAAACATTCACCACACCGAGTCTAACGAGATGTGTGCCTTCCCGTCTATTGTATATCATCTAGTGCCACGCATAGGCTAAAATTTCTGATGTTGGTTTATGATGCGCTGGCATTTTATCTCAATATCATCACTGTCAAGTTTCCATCTGCAGCTTACGTACTAGACCCTCGCCGTCAAGAGCCTCGGTCTCCGACAATCATGTCTACCCAAGCTCCCTCCTCGACGACAGAGGCCTCTACAAGCATCCTCCCACGACGCGACCGAACCCCCTGCGCAGGCTGCGGCTACACCCCGCAGCGCGCCTACCAAGATCGAACCAAATACAGATCCCGGCTGGCGCTCGACTTCGTCGGCCGCGACATCGCGACCTGGACTATCGGCGCCGACACCCTTCTCAAAGACAGCTCGGCCGCGCAGGGCAGCAACGAGGTCGACACACTCCGCTTCCTCCGCGAGAAGGTGCCCGAGCTGCCCACGCCCGATGTCAAGGCCACGTGGGAGACGGGCGGCAGGCGGTACATTGTCCAGGACCGTGTGCCCGGCCAGACCCTCGGCGCGGTGTGGCACGAGCTCGACCTATCTACCAAGGTCCGGATACTGGACCAAGTCGTTGCGGTGGTCTTGCAGTGGCGCACCTTGACGAGCGGCAAGATGAGCAGCGTCACCGGTGGCCCAGTCGAATCTCTCCGTTGGTGGTCGGCAGGATTCACGCCGTGGGGCCCCTTTCGGCGCAAGCGCGAGCTGTTCGCCTACTTTGAGGATGCGAGGGGCGGTTTTCCTGGGGCGGCCCGCGATATGCTGTGGCGGAATATGCCGGACTGTCGGCCTTGGACGTTCTCGCATGGCGACCTTCATGTGTACAACATCATGGTGGAGGATGGGAACCTCTCCGGGATCATCGACTTTGCGACGGCGGGGTTCTATCCGATATGGTGGGAGTATGTCCAGCTGAGGCTCGCGTGTGGAGCCAGGCCGGACCACGAGTGGAAGCACATGCTCCAGCTACGGATGAAAGATTCGTGCCATGAGGCCGAGGCGGCCATGACGTGGGCGAAGGCCTGCGATGAGCTCGCTTCCCTGCCGGATAGCATAACGAACGCGACAGTTGGCTGGCTGCGTGAGCAGTTCCCAAACGAACGTCTTCGAATATGCGAAGTGATTGCAGACGCGCGTTCAGGCAACGATCAAAACGAAGGGGGTGAGTTACAGCGAGGAGGTGGCCTAACAGCGAAGCCCGTGCCAAAGACGACTGCCACAAAGGCATATCTTGCGCGTTGGCGTGTGAAACTGACGAAGCGGCACGGATGCTAGCGGTGAGCAGCAACTCATGAGTTTCGAGCTTTCAGGCTGAGGTACATCTCAGACTGAGTCGTAGGAATTTGTTCGTGGTTCATGTGCCGACGAGTTATGTCGATCCGTCTTGCCCGTTTTGGGTACGTTGTCAAGCGTGTGAACGCGGTCCTCAT